GATTCTTCAATAGCTTGTTTTTGTAATTGAAAAAATACTGGAGCTTTTCTATTGAATATTTCAACAGTAAGTTTTTCATGTACGATAGATTTTAACAAGTCTTTTAACTCAACTGTTATTATCGATATTGTCAATAGATCCATTCTATTGATAGTTGCATCAACAAACATACATGCATATGTATGATGATGATGCATGAATCGTAATAACTTAACAATAAGATTTCCATCACCAAATTTCGAAAGTGGAAATAAATTTGAATGATCATCATTACACCAGACTTTTAACATATTCAATATTGTATGACGTGCATAGATTGTTATTAGTCCATATTCACAAGTTGTACGTGAATGAATATAAGTTTCGAATGGAATTTGTCGATGTACATAATGTGATAATGTTGCCATAGTTTTCTTAAATTTATTAGTAAATTCTATTTCATCAGAATCTGCTTGTATTAAATCAAGAAGTTTATATCCAGGATATTCAGCTGTTAATTGATTATTCACTTCTTTATCTTGAAGCCAATCATCTAGTTTATCACGAATACCTACAGAACGAATCGTGTCATAGAACCATTTTTTATCGGATGGTATATCATCATCATCATCGTTGTCTATTTCAGATCTCAATATCGATATTGATGAGTCATTTGTAACATTGTCGTTATCGATTAACATATGTAATGTTCTATTTTCATCATACGGACTCCATCGTCTTAAAACATCAAGTCTTTTTTGTTGTTGCTCTTGTTGACATGTGTTTTCTATAGGTTGAGTTTCCTCTCGTAGAATCTTATTAATAAAATAAATATTCGTCGTATTATATTTTTTCATAATATATTTGATCGATTGTTCTTTGTAACCAATACCAATGAGACTTGTTGACAGAATATTAAATGAAGGTGCCACTAGTTGATCTAAGGAATATTCAGTTGATTGGATTAATTTTTTCATTGATGAAGAAAGTATATGAATTGATTTATTCAAATATGTTATCGATCGACATTCAATACGTAGTTGATCATCATTGATCGTGTTCTTAGTTAAATCTAACTCTCGAAATAG